GGTCGGCGAAATTTCTCAAACGTTGTTCACCAATGGGGCAAGATCAGCTCCGTATTATTCTGGACCACATCACGACACACAAGAGTTCACCCGCGTAACACAACACCAACTCGACCGTCGCAACAAAATAAAAGAAAAACAACCAATTTTGGTTGGAAACAACCGTGCTTCCAAGTACGCATTTTTTCATTTAAAATCTCTACGATTTTTATTACAGATTACAATCTTTTACATTAAACTTGCTCTGTATGTGCATATCGTGGTCTTAATTCACAGAGGCCCTAATCAACACTTTTTTGAAATTGCGTTTTTCGCAGATTTTGGTAGGAGGTATTAAAGTACACCTTGAATAAAAATTTTGAAGTTTTATGCCTGATTTCCACTAAGCATTGAAATTTCAAAGGATTGGAGGCATTAAAAATGGCATGTGGGAAAAAATTTAGTTCTGCCATTTAATGCCTAGTGGAAATCCAGCATTAGTGCCAAAAACAACGGAGTTACATGCCACTTTTAAAAAGCCCCTGCCTGTTTTTGATACTCTTTTTATTATGTTTTTTTGCTTCTCCTGTAAAATACAGAAATTGTTGGTCAGAGCCTTTGTGAATTTAAGTAACGATATGTACATTCCTGTGGGCCGAAAATGCGCTTTCTTTGAATTTTGTTTGGTAATAGCAAAAATATGGTTAATTATGCTCTAAAAACAATCTGTGTGAAAGATGATAATTTTTGGTCAATATCTTAGGCTTGCCCAAGTCCATCAAAGTTCAATTGCTAAAACAATTTTTTCTTAGCTTACTTCGATTTTCGAAATTATGTAGGACTAATACTTTAGAAAATAATCGAAATTTTAGTAAAAAAAAATATAAGTTTTTATTTTTTGAGCAAATTGAACTTTGATGGACTTGGGCGAGCCCAAAATATTAACCAAAAATTGTCATTTTTCACACACATTGTTTTTGGAGCATAATGAACCATATTTTCGCTATTACCAAACAAAATTCTAAAAAAGTGGATTTTCGGCCCACGCTAATGTACATATGTATGTATGTATATATGTTTGTTTGGCAAATCTTGCAATACATTTTTAACCAACATTCCGATGACCTAGAGACTTTAAACTTCAGAGTTCAGTCAGAATCCGGCGACAAGGCAATACGAAAGAACACCCGTCAGAAAAACCCGTATTTATAATGCGATTTGGTTCATGTTTAGTGCGAAGAGCTTGAAATGCTGGCCGACAGGAAGAATGCCCGAAAATTTTACCAGAGAGTTAGTCGACCTACGGAAGGTTTCAAGACCAAGGCGTACGCCTGTAAGAATAACTGAAAAACAACAAAGCTGCTGGAGCTGACAGCCTGCTAGCTGAGCTATTTAAGTACGGTGGCGAGGAGTTGATAAGATGCATGCATCAACTCTTATGCAGAGTATGGTCAGATGAACGCATGCCCGATCCACAAGAAAGGCGACCCCGCCATTCGCACCAACTACCGCGGGATCAGCCTTCTATGCATAGGTTACAAGGTCTGAAGCCCGCCGTCACTGAACTGATTGGGTCTTATCAGTGCGGCTTTAGGCCTGGAAAATTCACCATAGATCAGGTATTCACAATACGCAAAATCTTGGGAAAGACCCGCGTGAAAAGGATCGACACTCACTACCTCTTTATCGACTTTAAAGCCACTTTCGACAGCACTAAAAGGCGTTGCCTATACGCCGCTATGTCTGAATTTGGCATCCCCGCCAAACTGCTACGGCTGTGTAAAATAACGTTGAGCAATACCACCAGCTGTGGCAGAATTAGGAAAGACCTCTCCGTGCCGTTCGCCACAAAACGGAGTTTCAGACGGGATGACTCCCTTTCATGTGACTTCTTTAACCTGATGTTGGAGAAGATAATAAGAGCTGCAGAACTGAACCGCTCAGGAACAATTTACTATAAGAACGTGCAATCGCTGGCTTATGCCGATGACAACGACATCATCGGTAACACGAATCGCGAAGTCTATTCTGCCTTTTCCAAGTTAGATAAGGAAGCAAAGCGAATGGGTCTGGTGGTAAACGAGGACAAAACGTAGTATCTCCTGTCATCATAAAACAGTCAGCACATTCGCGCCTTGGCCACCCACGTCCCTGTTGACAGTTATAATTTCGATAGATAGAGAATTTGGTTTACTTGGCAGCCAGCATTAACATCGATAATAATGTCAGCGTAGAAATCCAACGCAGAATCACTCTTGCCAACAAGTGCTACTTTGGACTGTGTAGGCAATTCAGCAGTAAAGACCTCTCTCGATATACTAAAACCACACTCTATAAGTCCACTCATCATTCCCGTGCTGGTATATGGCGCAGAAGCATGGACAACATCCGATGAGGCGGCTCTTGGAGTATTTGAGAGAAAGATTTTGCGGAAGATTTACGGGCCTTTACGCGTTGGCGACGGCGAGTACCGCAGACGATTGAACGATGAGCTGTATGAGCTTTACAACGACATGTACATAGTGCATCGAATTAAAATACTCCGCTAATGGCTCCACTGGCTTAGCCATGTCGTTCGAATGGACACCGACGCTCCAGCTCTGAAAGTATTCAACTCGGAACCCTATGGTGGTAGCAGAGGAAGAGGGAGATAGAAAGACCAGTTGGAGAAGGGCTTGGCTTCACTTGGCATTTCCAATGCTCGTCAGTTGGCACAGAAAAGAAACGACTGGCGTGCTTTGTTGAACTCGGCCAAAATCGCTTAGGCGGTTACAGCGCCAAATAAGAAGAAGAAGAAACTTCTGAGATACTTCGCCGACCTAAATGGGGTTAGATCGCTGAAACAACAGCCCTTGGTCGGGTAAAACCCGAGTAATTCCGGAACGTAAAACCGGCTGTCGTGGGAATGAAGAAACACATAGACGAGACGGAGCTTCATCTGCCTCAGGAGACACGAACGACAATAGCCCAACTTCGCTTGGGCTACTGCAGCAGGATAAACTCATCCCTAAGTAAATTGAATGAGGATGTGCCAAATGAGGGTTTCGGCATGCGGAGAGACCCCACATGACTCGAAGCATCTCTTCGCATGCCCGGAAAACCCAACAACCCTAATGGCTTTGTCCTTGTGGACCGACCCGATAGAGGCTGCACGCTTCCTAGGGCTGCCGTTAGTGGAACTTGTTGAGATATCAACCGATCTGGGCGGGGTTGTTGTAGCCGCTACAATAACAACAACAACAACAACAACAAACCTGTGTTTATGGTCCGATTTCGTTCATATTTCGAAAACTTGATTTAAAAGAATTTTTTTTTTTTAATTTAACTTGTTTAAGTTATAGGTCTTCATACATATCTAGGGACTTTTGACAAAACAACTTCTCTCGAATGAGGTTATTTTCTCTTCAAAGCAATAATTCATTGAGTTCTCGAATGATATTTTTATATATAATCATTAATAGGGTAGTTCCAGATGCTATCTCAATGAGAGTTAAATAATAATTAAAAATTTTTAAATGGAAGTCCCTTATAATTAAATCTAAAGTCCCACCTGCAGAAAGCACAGAGGTTGTTTTGTCAAAAGTCCACAGATATGTATGTACATTAGACTGCATCACCAGAAAAAGTTGGGGATTACAAAATTTATTATATCTTAAGACGTCCACCAAAATATTTCGGAAAAATGTTAATATTTACGTGAGCTGAACCGATTTGAAAATACCTCCAAAAATGGAGTTTTTATGAATAAAAATATGTAATTTCATAAAGAACTTTTTTAAAAAAAAGTCCCCTCAAATGACAAAGCAGATTAAGCTTAAAAAATCTGCATAAAAATATTTAAAAATCTTTCCAACTTATAGGATCTCAGTAGATAAGTATTTTCCCACTTTTTTATTTGTCCAAAAAAAGTCATTCGTGTCCCATTTATTTTTTTTCAAATACCAACACTTCTTAATTTAACAGTGAACGACGTTCGTTCATCCTACCTTTCTCTTTCATCCTTGGAATGAGTTTATTAGCAAAGAAATAAAAAGGGGTAGAAAATACCTTTCCAATGATACCTCACAAGTCTAAATCGGAAGAGTTTAGGTTCAGTTATTCAAGTTTTTCTTATACCAATCTTTAAAAAAAAGTTAAAAAACCGCATCAAAAGACTCATTATTAAATCTCTTTTTAACTTTTTTAAAGATATTTTTAAGATATTTTTATGCAACTTTTTTAAGCTTAAACCGTTTTGTATTTTGAGATTTTTTCAAAAAAAAATCTTTACGAAACATTTTTTATTCATAAAAAACCAATTTTTGGAGGCATTTTCAAATCGGTCTAGCTCACGTAAATCTTAATATTTTATTTTTCCGAAATATTTTGGTAGACGTCTTAAAATATATTCGAATACATAAAATCTCGTGTCACGGTGGTAGTAGTCAAACTCTTCCTAAAGGGCTCGACCGATGTTTATGAATTTTTTGTGTATATATGATAGGTATGAGAATCGTATGTAAAGTATATTTCATACCGGTAGGTGCAGGGGGCGTGGCACCTGCCATACAAACCCAATTTTTCATATTGCATACCTCTGAAAGTGTTCATGGTAGAGTACTCAAACATGGTATGGAGATATATGAAATCAATCCCATACTCTTAAAAAAAAATTTGGGCTATTTTAAAAGGGGGCGTGGCACCTTTCAAACGCATTGAAACTATTACGTATCTTTGTATGCATATACACTTTTGCTAGGTTTTTTAAGATGGCAATGGAAATATGCCTTCCACACAACCACCAAACCGTAATATTAGAAGATAAATGCATCACTGAAAATCATGAGCGTGAACTGTTGGTGAAAATGTTGGACCAAAATGTTTCCAATACAAATAATTTATTTTGGGCGGGACGAAGTTCGCCGTGTCTGCTAGTAGATTTTATAATTACAATGGAAACACAGTACCGATTTTTTTTTTTTGTATGGAGAGTGATGCAGCTTAATGTACATATGTCTCTAGTATATTTAAAATAAAAAAAACTTAAAATGTCTCTAGTTATTTATAGCTAATTTATTTATGCATTCCTTGCAGCTTTCCGCTCATAATATCTTTGGACTGCCGCGTCAAAGAGTTCACCCACAGTACGTTTTTTCCATATCTCACTTTTATCTCTTTTGACTTTGGGCTTTACATCGACAGGTTCACTGGACTCCGGGACTGATGGCACTGCCTCATCTGTTTGGTTCATTTTATTTTCTTTTGCATAGTGGTTATCCGACTTTTCCTTCTTTAAGGCGTCCAAATTTATAGCTACTGAAGTGGCATTTGCTTCCGCTAATACTTCTTTTGGCTTCTGTGTGGATTTCGCATCAGCCTCTTTTTTCCCATCGCCTTCGTCATCTGTCGACGAGTCTATGCTGAAGTCGGAATCCGCATCAATATTATTTGTCAAATGCATCTTTTTGACTTCCGTATCGGCACCAGTCTCATCTTGTTCAAAATCTTCGGAACTACGACGTTTACGATAGCTACGCTGTTGCGGCGCCTTGCCGGATTTGATCGGTTTATATGCAACATCATCCTCACCGCCTGTTGAGGTAACAACAGGAAAGTCTGGTTTAATTACCTCCTTTGTCGTACCAGTCTTTTGTTCGAATAAATGCCGATAGAAACCATCCAAGTCTTTTTGTTTTGTTACATCTCCAATAGCTTCTAAGTACTCGTCACGTTGCTCTTGCTCTTGTAACTTTCGCATTTCTTCCAATTTTTTTCTATATGTTGCTGTTACAAAACTTTCTTTGTCTTTGAATTCTTCACCCTCTTGCTCACGTTCTTTTTGCACTTGCCTTTCCACTCGCAATTCATTCTCCAGTTTGCGACGCTCAGCGAATTCCATTAAACGTCCTATGTATTTAGGCTTCTTCGGCTCTTTGCTTTTAATTTCTTTCTCCTGCTCCCGTTTGCTTTCCATCTCATCGTACAATTCATCATATTGAAAAACTGTAGGATCTTCTTTTAATGCCTTTTCCTGCATTGTACGAGCAATTCTACGTTCCATTAAACTGGGACCTTGTACACTACTTGTCCTTAGTTTTAACTGTGGCCTACCCTCGTCATCCGAAGAACTTTCATCAAAGATAGACGGTTTAGATATTGAGCGCGCGGCAGCTGTCGGGATTTCCGGCTTCTTTTGCTGCCCAGGAATGATGAGCCCATATCTAAAATTGTGGTAAAATATGTTATATAATTAATTAACATATTATTATTAATAAATAACATATAATTCCGAGATCGGAAGCAAAAACTCACTGTTTAGACATCTTGTTTTGATTGTATTTGGAGATGAAAGGTAATAGAAGTGCATAATCGATACTTTTCTTTCAAAACCGTGTAGTTTGGTATCGATACTTTGATATATCGAAAAAACACTTATATCAAACCTGATTTTAAACAATTTACAGAAAACATTAATGTCTGAAATATTTTAAGAAAATTCCTATAAACGTGTCTTCAGATATTATATTATATCTTTTTTTTTTTATATGCATGTAGATGAACACATAAATACAAAATATTTTGTCACATAAAAGTCAGAAATATGACGCTTTTCTGAATTGCGTTCCCTAACTTGCAAGAAGTTGCAAGAATTTAAAGGAATTTACCAGAAAACGTTCCCGTACTCTCTTCTCTGGCTTATTTTGATTTTGTGACAGTTTTCAAGGTTTTATCCAGAAAAGTTGGGGAATGCAACTCATATTTATGACGAAAGGGACTCATTTTAGACTCATAAATTCTGAGCCTCACTGAATCTAAAGGCTATGCCATGTCAAAAGCTTGCCTCGCAGTTAAGATAAAATCTATGAAAATGTACGAAGCATGCCACAAAGATTGATTTAGCTGCAGCGCGAAGCGAAAAGATGGCCAACTCCCATCTTTTTCGCGCTTTGACCATCAGCTTTTATTTTGTTTCGTTCAAATACGAGTTTTCATGTAGAAAGATAAAATTTAGGGAGTGTCTATTTACACGCGCCACGGTAACTTTTACCGTGGATCCACGGTAAAAAATACCGTGGATCTACGGTAAAATTACCGTGGATCTACGGTAAAAAATACCGTGGATCTACGGTAAAAATTACCGTGGATCTACGGTAAAATTACCGTGTATCTACGGTAAAAATTGCCGTGTATCTACGGTAAAAANACACGGTATTTTTTACCGTGGATACACGGCGCGTGTGTGTAGACACTGCCTAAAATTTAATTATGTACATTTAATAGTTTTGAAACTAAATATGTATATAAAATCCACAGCAATTTTCAAGAGTAAGAAAGCAGTACAAAATTGTTTCCTTGGCGTTCATTGTGGCATATCTTTCACGTCTTGCGCTCTGCTGGCAAGGTTATAAATGTAGCGCAAAGTCATAAATTTATATTTGGCGATATTTTGCTTTCGATGATTAGAAATTCGATACCTATCCGACCTCACGGAATGTAACACCTTACTTAAAAAAAAAAAAAGAATTATAGAAATCGGTTATGGTGGATATGCGGTACCATAAAAAAAAAAAATTTCCGACGAATTGATAACCTTCTCTTTTTTGTGAAGTCAGTTAACAGTTAAATAGTTTAAATAACATATCGTTAGTTGTCGTATAGAAAGGGCGTATCTCACACCGTCGTTGAAATGCAAAAAAGCCATAACTAACGATATACATATATATATATATTATTTAGTGTTTTTAGGAAAATAAATTGCATAAAAAACCTCGCAGTTTATTTCAAACAAATATATAGGCCATTTACACTTTATTATTTATCTACATTGTCGTTAAAATAACTTACGTATTGAAGAATTCAGGTGTACATCTTAAAATTAATTCAAAAGTAAACAAAAGCGGCTTCTCTTTGATGGCATACTGCACTGGCCAGACGAATGGATGCTCTGTATCAGAATACCATTTATTATGTCAGTGCAATTAGCGATACGTCCCAATATTTACATATTCATAAATATATATACCAAAACAAAGCTTAAAATAATTTCCAGTATTGATTTACTTTATCGTCATGCACTAAATACAAGGATTGTGGTCGCTCAAAAGCTAAAGCATATTGCTTGCTCTTTTTGGCAATCTCTTGATCGAATATCTAAATGAAAATAGAGAAAACGTTATATAATTTCGGATTAAATATATTTCGGTAGAGATATTTTATTATAACTTACATCATCCTCTTTTAATTCAAGCACCGAAGACAAATCCCATT